CCAGAGGTCTAGAAGACCAGGAATTCAAGTTCAGGGCTTGAGGACGCCCCTCCAGAGGTCTAGAAGACCAGGAATTCAAGTTCAGGGCTTGAGGACACCCCTCCAGAGGACAACAAGACCTGGGATTCAAGTTCAGGGCTTGAGGACGCCCATCCAGAGGTCAACAAGACCAGGAATTCAAGTTCAGGGCTTGAGGAGGCCCCTCCAGAGGTCTAGAAGACCAGGAATTCAAGTTCAGGGCTTGAGGAGGCCCCTCCAGAGGACAACAAGACCTGGGATTCAAGTTCAGGGCTTGAGGACGCCCCTCCAGAGGTCTAGAAGACCAGGAATTCAAGTTCAGGGCTTGAGGAGGCCCCTCCAGAGGACAACAAGACCTGGGATTCAAGTTCAGGGCTTGAGGACGCCCCTCCAGAGGTCTAGAAGACCAGGAATTCAAGTTCAGGGCTTGAGGACGCCCCTCCAGAGGTCAACAAGACCAGGAATTCAAGTTCAAGGCTTGAGGCACAGGGAAGTGAGTCATGAGTGTTGGTTGCCAGGCCCATGACTCCGGCAGGCCTGGCCACCACCTCCCCCCGGGGCCTCATTATCCCTGCGCCCCCTCCCTCATGTGGGCAGGCGTAGAGAATGATGGAGGCTGGAGTGAGGTCAGCGCTTCTGCACAATCCTTGGCTCATAGACCTCTGCCCACAGGACTAGCCTTTCCCTGGCTGCTCCAGGCTCTCCCCTCCCTGGGGGGACGGCCCCTTTGCTCACTGTTGGTCACCCCAGATTCCAATCTTCAGACTCATTAGCTTGGATAAGAGCCTCTAGCCGCCCACCCTCTGGGCGTCAGACGGGGACCCAGCCCACAAAACATGGGTTCTGCTGGCCCTCCTCACAGGAGGGAAGGGGAGAGCTAACTCCTCTTATTTTGTGGGGTTCACAATGAAGAAAATTCACCTCCTGCACTCAACATTGCCTGGCAGTAGCATTGGGCTTTTCTTAAAAGTAGGGGAGGGGTGCTCTGCATGAAATGAGCAGATTGGGGGTCAAGAACCGTCATCACTGACCGCTGCAGTCTCAAGGAAGCCACAGGCTCTTTGAGCCACAGTTTTGTCCTTGTGGAAGGGGCGAAGCACCTTCTGGTTTGGTCGGATCCATCGCCTTGAATCCCGAGCCACAGCGCGAAGGCATCAGCCGGAGGCAGTCCGCTGGTTCAGGCTCCATCCGCACCCACTTCTCTGTGACTCCGGCTTTGCCGAGAGCCTTTCCTCGCCCAGACTCGCTGCTTCTTAGGCTCAGACTTGCCCGCTCTCCTTGTGGCGGTTCCCACGGGGGCTCCCCACAGACCCGTCACAGGCTGGTGTGCCTGTCCCCAGAAACTTTCCTGAGCCAGTGGGAGTCCCTTCACTCCAAGATGCCCAAGAGGTGGGCAAAGCCAAAGACAGACACATTCAGGGTACAAAAGCCCAGGCCCCTTCCTCAAGGAAGGACACGTCTTCGGGAGCAAGGAACACCGTCCGAGCTCCCGATCAGGATCCCCCGGATAGAGAGAGAGCCAGCTGTATCCGCCAGGGCGGCAGGTGGGAGCCACGCAGAGGGCACGGGCTGTGCACACAAAGCAGACCTGGACTGAGTCCCGGCTCGAGCGGTTGATAGTGGTAAGTTAGGTCAGTTGCTACTTTTCTAGGCTTCAGTTTCCTTCCTAACAGGTTACGGGTCATAATCCCCACTTGGTAGCATCGATGTGAGGATTTGATGGCAGCGGCAAAGCCCCCTGCACGGTGCCCGGTGCACAGAATGACCCCAGAGCCTTGGCTGCCCAAGGAAAAGGCTGATGGGCAGCTGGCAGAGAAGGCCGGGCCCGCTGGTGCAGGACCACGCCCGCTTGGGCCCAGCAGGAAGTGGTCAGCTGGGTGCTGGCTGCACATGTCCGTCGACTCGTGCTTGTAACCCCTCCCTGGGGCTCAGTTCAGGAACCAAACCACCTGTAAACAAAAACCGAAGCCAACTCCTGATGCTGAGCTTTGCGTCTGGAGGCCGTCTTCCCCGCCCCGGCCTGTCGGGAGGCCCCTGGGCTGTGAGTGGCTTGTAGTGTGTCCGGTGGACTTCCCCCGTCGGCCCCAAGCCACCTCCAGCTCACACGCCAAGCCGCCTGCTCCCAGCAGCCTCACCACCGCCCGGGGAACCCAAAGCCACGGCGGCAGAGGCGACAAGAACGGTGGCCAGTGCCTGCAGCCGAGGCCCCTGCAGTGACCTCACGTCCCCTTCCACTAACTGCCACGGAGGGCGGACGGCGGGCACACAGGGAAGCCCAGTGCCTGCAGCCGAGGCCCCTGCAGTGACCTCACGTTCCCCTTCCAATAACTGCCACGGAGGGAGGACGGCGGGCACACAGGGAAGCCCTGTGCCTGGGGGCGCAGGCAGCCACAGGCCAGACTGCCTCCGAGGGCGCAGGCTGGGCTCACAGCTGTGATTTCCAAGTCTTGGCTTTCGGTCCCTGGCTCCCTGGTTTCCCAGGTCACCATCCCTCGTGTTCTGGGGCAGAAGCACGTGGCCGTCATGGGACCTGAAGAAGGCAAGGGGGGGCTCCCGGAAACCAACCAGGAGGCTGCAATCAGACTGGGTGACGCTGAGGTTCCAGGGCGCGAGGTGAAAACACCAAATGAGGCAGGTTCTGCCAATGGGTCCAAATCCTCCAGCTTTACTGGTCGCATTTCTTCCTCCCCAGGACTGACAATTGCACGGGGGGGCGCGTCTGCTCCTAAACTGTCCCTCCTTCTTGACCGAAGAGAATCCCATGGTAGACGCCGGCCTTTTCCTTCTCCGGCAGGATGTCATTAATACGCCATTTCCGTTCAGTGAGAGCTGACATGTGCTTTCCACACATCACCCCACTTTATTCGCGTACCCCAGGGCAGCAGGGCTTTCACTCCTATTCCCAGTGGAGGGAACACAGGTTCAGAGAGGTCCCCTGGCTTGCCCAGGCCACGAGGTTTTAAGGGACCGAGCCGCCTAGTCACAGAACCTGGTCCGGCGGACCAGAGCTCACGCCCTCGGCCGCCGTGCTGCTTTGCCCAGGAACGAGGAGAGTCAGTCCCATGAAGGAGGTGCTGCCGTCTGTTCTTTTGAGAGCGAGCTTCCCGCACCTACCCCCGCCGGGTGCCAGGAACCCGAGCTTCAGGGGGCTGCTTGGGCTCCCACCTTCCGCGCAGGAGCCGTCCTGACCATCCTGACCGGCACGTCCCGTAGGCCAGACCCCCTGATGGGAGGGGCAGGGCCTCAAGGGGACAGGTCCTTAGCTCATTCGAATTTTCACAAAATCGTACATTTTGATGTTTCCATCCCATTATTGAAATGCCACATGGCCAATAAAAACTTGAAAACAAAAAAAGTAAACAGAAGGAAAACAATAACTTGTAGGACTCTTCCAATGACCTGTGGGCAAATCCCCTTCTGTCTTTGTAAGGGCCGGGATTAAACACGGTGGTTGGGACTGCACCGAATCCGTAGACGCCTTTATTCAGGAGCAAATTTCCACATTACTCGTTTTTTTTCAAAACCGCCCCGTTCTTCCCAGCCAGGCCCAGCAGGTGTGTACCTGGGTCGGGGTGAAGCGTGCGTGTGCTGCTCCCCAGCTGGCGCTGCAGGGTCTCGGGGATCATTTCACGTCCCTGGGCAGGCAGTTGGCTCCCAGGCCCCGCTCTCCCTGTGCTCACACTCATGTCTCCGGCATAAGTGATGCTGACGCTAACCGTGGGCGTGGGTCTTCCTCTGGTGCCGCGACACTTCAGCGCCTCCCAGCGCCCCCCGTCCCTGTCCAGAGGGCACTGCTGTGACTTCCTGGCTTTCCAGAACTGAGGACCTCCCCGGAGGAAGCCCCCCGCCAGGCTCCGTGCGACGTGCCGGCTTCGGGCCAAAGCTCAACTTTCCTGACTGTCGCACTTCAAGCAAGGTCAGGTGAGGGGACTGGATGACACGGGGTGCCGCGAGGGGATGTGGGGGCCAGAGACATGGGTTTGGATCCTGGCTCTTCTACTTATTAGCTGTGGAAACAGAGCACGTTACTGAACCTCGAGCCTGGGTTTCTTCATATTTATGAGAGAATACTTCCTTCCCTCTAGGGTTTTCGTGGGAATTAAATGACATAATGCGAGTGAACTTGTCGAGTCCAGCTTTTGACCTAATCAAGGCAGTTAATAAAGAACTGAGATCATTTCCTACCCCACCTCCCCACCCCCAGGGAGGAGAGTTTTCTGTTCAGTGTTTCCATTATACTATCTCTCAGTACCGCCGAGCTCGTTTTCAGTCTGGATCCTCTTGAAGAAGCTCTCCAGGGCCACGCTGGTCACGCCAGCGGCCTCCAGGCTCCTGGCCCGCTCTGGCCAGGGTATGTGCAAAGGCTCCCTACCCTGATCTTGCTGACGGGTTCAAGGTCACTCGCCTTACTTTGGGAATAAATAAGTCAAGCAAGGACACCCTGCACTCCTCACACCAGAGACCCTCATCCGTCTGCTTATACTGAGCACACACGTGCGGGCATGTGGCCCGGGCTTCCCCTCTGGTCCTGAGCCTTCCCAGCTCACTCTATCGTGTTTCGTTCCGGAGAGACTCGTCCCGCAGATACTCGTCCCGCGGAAGCGGGAGATCAGGGAGGAAGGCTAGTTAGACCCTGCGGTTCAAGCCCATCAACCAACCAGCGGCTCTCCTGTGGAGCCTGTGCAGTTCCCGCGGGCCCGGCTCCACGCGGACAGGGTTTCAGGGCAAGGGGGCCAGGTGCAGTGTGAGGGCTGAGCCAAGGCTGAGAACCAGCGACGTCAGTGGCCCTGCCTGCTCCCCACGCATCTCACCCCACAGCCTCACGTGGGGCCGGGCTCACGGCCAGCGCCGAGGGCCGGGCGCCTCGGTCTGCTCCTGCCTAAGGCCCAGAAGGGAGTGCGGTGGTGCTGCCAAGATCTCACAGATGTCCCGAAGTCATACATGACACACACTTTATTGCATTAAGAAAGTCATCTGTTACTGCTGGGCTGCAGGGGGCCGCAGCCGAGGCTGCTTCGGGAGGGTGGCCGCCGGGAACAAGCGGATTTTCAGCATCACCAACGGCTCGATTCTCCCCCCTCCCCATCAAACATTCGTCAGGGGCTCCGGCCAGTTCTGGTAGGAGCACCGCACTGCTGGCCGCACGAAAAGCCGGGATTACCCGAACGGGTCCATGACACAGGTCCGTTCCTGGCCATCGCCTGGCGGCCAGGCTGCTGTGGCTCGAACGGGGGAGCCCGGTGGCACCCGTGCGCTCCTCCGCGGGGAGCTCGCTCTCTCTCCCTGGTGGCCGGCTCTGGGGCGCTGCATGGCCATCTGGGGCCCATCTGCGCGGGCTCCCTGTGGGGGGCTCCGAGATTGGTTCCATCCGAGACTGGAAGCGGCTCAGTTCGGCCTCCCTACACGGCGAACTTCCTCCCCGAGGGAGTGGTCTGCAGTGCAGCTCCTCACAGGGCAGGAGTGGTGCTGGCCGAGGGGAGCAGGCCAGGGGGCACCTCGCTGGGCCTCCCGCTGGGCCTCCCGCGGGCCGGGCGGAGCTGAGGAGCAGTGGGGACGCTGGCAGAGGCCTGGAACTGCTGCCTTTGGCTCAGAGCGACGCCTGAGGGCTCCTGTCCATTCCACACACTGGGTGTCTGTAGTGACCCAGACGGCTTCCCGTCTGGCCAGAAGGCAAGGGTCCCGCCCACCACGATGTCCAGGCTCTGCTACCCATTCGAGGTGCCTGTCCAGAGCCTCGTGTGGGTGCTCAGCTTGCCCTCCAGTTCCTGGGGTGTGCGTCAGGAGAGCAATCTCAGGGGTCCAGGAGCACCAGCTGCTCGGGGGGCAAGGTGCTCAGGCTCACTCCTTCCTGCTCCCACCAGCAGCGTCTCTGGTGGCTTCCAGTGGGGTCAGATGGCTTCCTCCACCGTGTGATGGGGGTGGAGGGGACAGCTGCCCTCCTCCCCCTCGTGCGTTTCTCCTGCGCCAGGCCACGCCCAGGGGCACACTGCTGGCAGAGCACCTGCCCAGGCCTGGGCGAGGTCACTCCTGCACCAGGAAGTTGATGAGGGCCGTCCTGGGGGAGAGGAAGGCCTTCTTGATGCTTCGCCCCTGCAGGAGCCTGGCACCCAGCTCGCTTTGGAGAACAAGCTCGTGGACTTTGTCCTGGTCCCGGGCCACTTGCTGGGGCACAGGGACTTGGCCGCAGGCTTTGTTGTTGATCTGAGGAGGAGAAAAGCCAGAGACAAACAGTCCTGAGTGGCGGGCAGCCCGGTGCCAAACCCACTTCCCGCAAAGGGCCCGCTGTGTCTGTTCGGGGAAGGGAATGTGGGGAAGGAAGGAGACAGGCAGCACCCAGCTTCGCAAGAGGACGGAGTGCAGAGAGAGAAACCCCGCAGGGACAGCGCCTGCACCTGGAGTGAGTGCCCGCGTGTTCGCGGAGCGCTGCCGTCACCGCCAAGTGGAAAGGATGCCCAAACCCTCCGCGTGGCGGGGCCTAGGCTGTGTCGGGGGAACTGTCACGAGCACCAAGTCTAGCTCAGATCTAATTCAGGGGTGTCACTGAGGATTTGCCTAGGTCTCAGAGACTCATTTCTGGGGACGGCAGTGAACCTCCCTTTCTGATGACTGGCTCCAGAAGGGGGCGCTCAGGTGAGCTCTTGGAAACCAGACCCGCATCACATGAACCACTCTTCCTGCCTAAAACGGACCAGTCCAGTCCAGACGTCACTGAGTACAGTTCAATAAGGACCAACTTCACATCAACTATGAACTGGTGTCCCCCCCGAGGAAGGGACCCATGGTACAGGCGGCGTCTGAACAGCCGTCCTTCCGATCCTCGGTCCCACTGCTCTGTAAGGACCGGTCTCTTTCACGGACGCTCCTGTTTCTCACTGGGGAAACAGTGAATAACTCCTCCAGCTTCACCCACAGCACATCATGAAGTGCTCCTTAACCACCTCTTCACTGTCTCAGATTTCCGTAGAGCTGTTGTTGTGGCTGCACCAGCCTAGATCACCAGGTGGGAGACAATTAACACCGTGCCCTGAAATGTTTTTAAACTGCGGGGCTCCCGGCGGGCCGCGTGCTCTGAGGCTGGGGAGCTGGCGCCGGGTGAGGGGCTGTGGCTGCTCTCCCTCCCCGTCCTCCGAAGCTGCCTTCCTTCAAGGCCACATGCTTGGTTCGACTGAGACCTCAGAAGAGACTCCTACCCCGTCCCTTGTGAGGTCCTGGAACCCCAAATATGGACTTCTGATAGCGTGAACCTGGTAACGGACCGGGTGCTGGCCTTCCCATCTCTGTTCTCACGCTTTTTCTAGGAAAGAGAGGCCCAGGGCAAGGCCTCCTCTGGCCACCGCCTCTGACGTGGGGTCCTGGGGGGGGACACGCTCGCTTACAAGGGAGAGACTCAGGGGGGCTCTCAGGCTGTGGGACATCAGGCCTTCGTTTCTCTTTAAGGACAGAATCCTCGGGATGAAGGTGAAGGAAGTGAGTGAGCCTGTGTCAGTGACACACTCGCTGCCTCACTTCCTCTGCCTCCGTCAAGACTCCCACGAGGATGGAAGGAGCACCCCTGGGGTGTCCGCTTCCATGTGCGGCCCAGCACGATGCCGACCCTGCCTGGATTCAAGGCCCATTCGGCCTCGGTGCCTCCCCAGGGCCTGGGAGCTGGTCCTGAGCCCGTGCGAGGGAACTGAGTGGTTCCTGTCCACACTGGGCCTGTGCGAGGGAACTGAGTGGTTCCTGTCCACACTGAGCCTGTGCGAGGGAACTGAGTCGTCCCTGTCCACACTGAGCCTGTGCGAGGGAACTGAGTCGTCCCTGTCCACACTGGGCCTGTGCGAGGGAACTGAGTCGTCCCTGTCCACACTGGGCCCGTGCGAGGGAACTGAGTCGTCCCTGTCCACACTGGGACTGTGCGAGGGAACTGAGTCGTCCTGTCCACACTGGGCCTGTGCGAGGGAACTGAGTGGTTCCTGTCCACACTGGGCCTGTGCGAGGGAACTGAGTCGTCCTGTCCACACTGGGCCTGTGCGAGGGAACTGAGTGGTTCCTGTCCACATTGGGCCTGTGCGAGGGAACTGAGTCGTCCTGTCCACACTGGGCCTGTGCGAGGGAACTGAGTCGTCCCTGTCCACACTGGGCCTGTGCGAGGGAACTGAGTCGTCCTGTCCACACTGGGCCTGTGCGAGGGAACTGAGTGGTTCCTGTCCACACTGGGCCTGTGCGAGGGAACTGAGTGGTTCCTGTCCACACTGGGCCTGTGCGAGGGAACTGAGTCGTCCCTGTCCACACTGGGCCTGTGCGAGGGAACTGAGTGGTTCCTGTCCACACTGGGCCTGTGCGAGGGAACTGAGTCGTCCCTGTCCACACTGGGCCCGTGCGAGGGAACTGAGTCGTCCCTGTCCACACTGGGCCCGTGTGAGGGAACTGAGTCGTCCCTGTCCACACTGGGCCCGTGCGAGGGAACTGAGTCGTCCCTGTCCACACTGGGCCCGTGCGAGGGAACTGAGTCGTCCCTGTCCACACTGGGCCCGTGCGAGGGAACTGAGTGGTTCCTGTCCACACTGGGCCCGTGCGAGGGAACTGAGTCGTCCCTGTCCACACTGGGCCCGTGCGAGGGAACTGAGTCGTCCCTGTCCACACTGGGCCCGTGCGAGGGAACTGAGTCGTCCCTGTCCACACTGGGCCCGTGCGAGGGAACTGAGTCGTCCCTGTCCACACTGGGCCCGTGCGAGGGAACTGAGTCGTCCCTGTCCACACTGGGCCCGTGCGAGGGAACTGAGTCCTCCCTGTCCACACTGGGCCCGTGCGAGAGAACTGAGTCGTCCCTGTCCACACTGGGCCTGGGGAAGGGAACTGAGTGGTTCCTGTCCACACTGGGCCTGGGGAAGGGAACTGAGTCGTTCCTGTCCACACTGGGCCTGTGCGAGGGAACTGAGTCGTCCCTGTCCACACTGGGCCCGTGCGAGGGAACTGAGTCGTCCCTGTCCACACTGGGCCTGGGGAAGGGAACTGAGTCGTCCCTGTCCACACTGGGCCTGTGCGAGGGAACTGAGTCGTCCCTGTCCACACTGGGCCTGTGCGAGGGAACTGAGTCGTCCCTGTCCACACTGGGCCTGGGGAAGGGAACTGAGTCGTCCCTGTCCACACTGGGCCTGTGCGAGGGAACTGAGTCGTCCCTGTCCACACTGGGCCTGTGCGAGGGAACTGAGTCGTCCCTGTCCACACTGGGCCTGTGCGAGGAAACTGAGTCGTTCCTGTCCACACTGGGCCTGTGCGAGGGAACTGAGTCGTCCCTGACCACACTGGGCCCGTGCGAGGGAACTGAGTCGTCCCTGTCCACACTGGGCCTGGGGAAGGGAACTGAGTGGTTCCTGTCCACACTGGGCCTGTGCGAGGGAACTGAGTCGTTCCTGTCCACACTGGGCCTGGGGAAGGGAACTGAGAGGTTCCTGTCCACACTGGGCCTGTGCGAGGGAACTGAGTCGTCCCTGTCCACACTGGGCCTGTGCGAGGGAACTGAGTCGTCCCTGTCCACACTGGGCCTGTGCGAGGGAACTGAGTCGTCCCTGTCCACACTGGGCCTGGGGAAGGGAACTGAGTCGTTCCTGTCCACACTGGGCCTGTGCGAGGGAACTGAGTCGTTCCTGTCCACACTGGGCCTGTGCGAGGGAACTGAGTCGTTCCTGTCCACACTGGGCCTGGGGAAGAGAACTGAGTCGTCCCTGTCCACACTGGGCCCGTGCGAGGGAACTGAGTCGTCCCTGTCCACACTGGGCCTGTGCGAGGGAGCTGAGTCGTCCCTGTCCACACTGGGCCTGAGGAAGGGAACTGAGTGGTTCCTGTCCACACTGGGCCCGCGCGAGGGAACTGAGTCGTCCCTGTCCACACTGGGCCTGTGCGAGGGAACTGAGTCGTCCCTGTCCACACTGAGCCCGTGCGAGGGAACTGAGTCGTCCCTGTCCACACTGGGCCTGTGCGAGGGAACTGAGTCGTCCCTGTCCACACTGGGCCTGTGCAAGGGAACTGAGTCGTCCCTGTCCACACTGGGCCTGTGCGAGGGAACTGAGTCGTCCCTGTCCACACTGGGCCCGTGCGAGGGAACTGAGTGGTTCCTGTCCACACTGGGCCTGTGCGAGGGAACTGTGTCGTCCCTGTCCACACTGGGCCTGTGCGAGGGAACTGAGTCGTCCCTGTCCACACTGGGCCTGTGCGAGGGAACTGAGTCGTCCCTGTCCACACTGGGCCTGGGGAAGGAAACTGAGTCGTCCCTGTCCACACTGGGCCTGGGGAAGGGAACTGAGTCGTCCCTGTCCACACTGGGCCTGTGCGAGGGAACTGAGTCGTCCCTGTCCACACTGGGCCCGTGCGAGGGAACTGAGTGGTTCCTGTCCACACTGGGCCTGTGCGAGGGAACTGAGTCGTTCCTGTCCACACTGGGCCTGGGGAAGGGAACTGAGTCGTCCCTGTCCACACTGGGCCTGGGGAAGGGAACTGAGTCGTCCCTGTCCACACTGGGCCTGTGCGAGGGAACTGAGTCGTCCCTGTCCACACTGGGCCTGTGCGAGGGAACTGAGTCGTCCCTGTCCACACTGGGCCTGTGCGAGGGAACTGAGAGGTTCCTGTCCACACTGGGCCCGTGCGAGGGAACTGAGTCGTCCCTGTCCACACTGGGCCTGTGCGAGGGAACTGAGTGGTTCCTGTCCACACTGGGCCCGTGCGAGGGAACTGAGTCGTCCCTGTCCACACTGGGCCCGTGCGAGGGAACTGAGTGGTTCCTGTCCACACTGGGCCCGTGCGAGGGAACTGAGTCGTCCCTGTCCACACTGGGCCTGTGCGAGGGAACTGAGTCGTCCCTGACCACACTGGGCCTGGGGAAGGGAACTGAGTGGTTCCTGTCCACACTGGGCCCGTGCGAGGGAACTGAGTCGTCCCTGTCCACACTGGGCCTGTGCGAGGGAACTGAGTCGTCCCTGTCCACACTGGGCCTGGGGAAGGGAACTGAGTCGTTCCTGTCCACACTGGGCCTGTGCGAGGGAACTGAGTCGTCCCTGACCACACTGGGCCCGTGCGAGGGAACTGAGTCGTCCCTGTCCACACTGGGCCTGGGGAAGGGAACTGAGTGGTTCCTGTCCACACTGGGCCTGTGCGAGGGAACTGAGTCGTTCCTGTCCACACTGGGCCTGGGGAAGGGAACTGAGAGGTTCCTTTCCACACTGGGCCTGTGCGAGGGAACTGAGTCGTCCCTGTCCACACTGGGCCTGTGCGAGGGAACTGAGTCGTCCCTGTCCACACTGGGCCTGTGCGAGGGAACTGAGTCGTCCCTGTCCACACTGAGCCTGTGCGAGGGAACTGAGTCGTCCCTGTCCACACTGGGCCTGTGCGAGGGAACTGAGTGGTTCCTGTCCACACTGGGCCCGTGCGAGGGAACTGAGTCGCCCCTGTCCACACTGGGCCCGTGCGAGGGAACTGAGTTGTTCCTGTCCACACTGGGCCTGTGCGAGGGAACTGAGTCGTCCCTGTCCACACTGGGCCCGTGCGAGGGAACTGAGTGGTTCCTGTCCACACTGGGCCCGTGCGAGGGAACTGAGTCGTCCCTGTCCACACTGGGCCCTTGCGAGGGAACTGAGTCGTCCCTGTCCACACTGGGCCCGTGCGAGGGAACTGAGTCGTCCCTGTCCACACTCGCCCGTGCGAGGGAACTGAGTCGTCCCTGTCCACACTGGGCCCGTGCGAGGGAACTGAGTCGTCCCTGTCCACAATGGGCCCGTGCGAGGGAACTGAGTCGTCCCTGTCCACACTGGGCCTGTGCGAGGGAACTGAGTGGTTCCTGTCCACACTGGGCCCGTGCGAGGGAACTGAGTCGTCCCTGTCCACACTGAGCTTGTGCGAGGGAACTGAGTCGTCCCTGTCCACACTGGGCCTGTGCGAGGGAACTGAGTCGTCCCTGTCCACACAGAGCCTGTGCGAGGGAACTGAGTCGTCCCTGTCCTCACTGGGCCTGTGCGAGGGAACTGAGTCGTCCCTGTCCACACTGGGCCCGTGCGAGGGAACTGAGTCGTCCCTGTCCACACTGGGCCTGTGCGAGGGAACTGAGTCGTCCCTGTCCATACTGGGCCCGTGCGAGGGAACTGAGTGGTTCCTGTCCACACTGGGCCTGTGCGAGGGAACTGAGTCGCCCCTGTCCACACTGGGCCTTTGCGAGGGAACTGAGTGGTTCCTGTCCACACTGGGCCTGTGCGAGGGAACTGAGTCGTTCCTGTCCACACTGGGCCTGTGCGAGGGAACTGAGTCGCCCCTGTCCACACTGGGCCCGTGCGAGGGAACTGAGTGGTTCCTGTCCACACTGGGCCTGTGCGAGGGAACTGAGTCGCCCCTGTCCACACTGGGCCCGTGCGAGGGAACTGAGTCGTTCCTGTCCACACTGGGCCTGGGGAAGGGCCTGCGACCTCTGGATGTGCTGTCGGTGCCCAGGGACTTTCCCACGACGGCCTGGCCACTGCTCATGGTTCCTGGGCTTCCTGGGACGCCCCTGAGTCGTGTATCTGGGGCAGTCCCTTCAGGATGAATGGGCCTCAATCATGCTCCCCACTCCTGGGCACGGGGCACCAATCCAACAGACAAGAGAAGTCTCACTGATGCCCTGGCCGGTTTGGCTCAGTGGTTAGAGCATCGGCCCGTGGACCAGAGAAGTGTCACTGCGGCTTGGCTTTCCCGGCCCAAAGGGGAAGAAGCTTCCAGCCCCCATTCGGTGCCCTCTCTCTCCGCCACCTCCACGACATCACTGAGCCTGGGTCCAGGGCCTCTCCCTGTTCTCTGGGGACTCCCCCTGCCCTGTCCCCTGCTCCCTGACGGGAGGGCACCCTGCAGTGACTGAGGGTAACAAAGCCCCACTGCCGGAGCCTCCGTGCCACGTAATCCCTCGAGCGGCTGCTTACCCTCACGACCTCTGTCCCCATTTCACAGGCGGGGAAGCTGAGGCACAGGAGGTAAAGTCAGTTGCCCAAGACTCCAGCCCAGCAGGTGGGTCCTCCATCCCCTGCTCAGACCCCTGCCAGCCCCCTGCTCCCCAGGGCTGCCCTGCTGTGCCTCTGCTCCGGCCCGGGGCTCACGGTCCCAGCGTCCGAGGGACTCCGCTCCTTTTCCCCACGGAGGAGATGCTCCGCCTTCAGAGCCCCGGTCCCTCGGCCGTCTGACTGGCGGCGGTGGGCATTCACCGTGCGTGAGCGCGAACCTGCAGCCGTTCCCACCTGTGAGATGGGCTCATCACACACCCGCCCGCCTGTGAAGGGGGGATCGCAGCAGGGCTGCCCTGCGGGGAAATGGGGGTGTCACTACGAGGTCCATTCCCTACAGACATCGCCGCAGGGAGAGGAACTGCTGAGGTGCCACAGGCTGTCTGGAGTCTGAGGGTGTGGGGGAGGCATGGGGGCAGCAGGGGACCGAGGGGCAGGAAGGTGTGATGGTCTTTCCACACCACCTGCCGGGGAGCCTCTGTGGGGTACGCTCTCCCTCCACCCAAGTGGGTCTGTTCGCAGCACTTTTGCTCACAATTTGCAATATTTTATTTCCTTTTCTCTTTCCTCCTCCTTTCCCCCGTCTCTCCCACTGGGCTTGAAGCTCCCAGAGGGTAGGGATCCTATCAGGTGAGACTTGTACCCCCAGAGCCTAGCCCTGTGCCTGCAGTAGAGGGGTAACCAGGTGGCTACTGACGAGTAAACGAATAACCCCGGGCACGGCGACGAACTCCTCTGAGGCTGTCTCCTCGCCTGGAGCGAGCGCAGTCACGGCTGCCTCGCGGGGGGAGAGTGATCGCCACTCAGGCCGCGACCGCCTGCCAGGCCCCGGGCCCCGGGGAGACCGCCCGCTCTCCCTCTTCAGCCACATCAGCCTATCGAAGAGACATTCCTTCTAATGTGTCTTAGTGCACACATTAAATATGTAAAAATTACAGGAAGAATAAACCATAAGAGAGCTATTTGTTTTTTAAGCCTTGTGGTTTAAACAATAAACAATTTTTATGTATTTAAAATGACCCAATATATCAAAAAAAGAGAAACTTTATGTAGCTTCCTGCACCTCGTTTTTCAGAGTGGGGGCTGCGTGGCTGCCCCCCCAGAAGAACCAGGAGGGGGTGGGCGCGGGAAGGAGGTCAATGGGGGAAGAGGGCCATCAGTACCACCTTCAACAGTCGAGAGCCACAGCAGCTGGGCGAAGCGCGGGGAGGCGGAGGCACAGGTGGAGAGGAGGCCGATCACCATGATGCGGGACAGGCTTCTCTCCCACGCTCCAGCCCCTCGCGGGCATGAGGGCTCCATGCTCGCCAGCTTTTGGTACACAGTGACCTTAAACTGAGGCGCCGGCAGAGGAGCAGGCGGCCGGGTAGGGCTGAGGGCTGGGTGCGCCAGATACGAGAAACAGAACCTCCCAGACAGACAGGACAAGCCCTGCCCCGCAGCCTCGCCCCGTGCGGGGAGTGGGGTCACTCACCAGGACGGCCATCTGCACCACGTCGGGCTGCTGCAGGAACTGCGGGTCCACGGCCGGCCACGGCTGGAGCAGCACGCCGGCGTCCCAGGCGTAGTGGGCGCAGAGCTTCCTGGGCACCAGCGCCAGGCCTGCAAGGTCAAGGCCAGAGGGTCACTGAGCACACGCAGCTCTGGGCAGCCGGGTCACAGCGCTTGTCCCAGCACAGCCTGGCTGGGCGGACCGAGGAGGCCCCCCACCTACTCCGCTCATCACCCCAGGTTCGGGTAGCTTTTTTTCTCAAACAGGACCCGGAGCTGGGAAGGTGGATGGACATGCTGTTCTGGGACCAGGCTGCCCGTGTGACCTGCTCTCTGCAGTTGTGAAGGAACACTGCGCTCTGAGAGCGGACCCCCAATCCCGAGCTGCACTGACTTCCTTTCCAGCCGGAGACTCTGGTCTGAGAGCCTCCCACCGGCCCCCTGACTCTACTGTAAGATCAGTTCAAGATTTTTCATCTGGCTTCTTTTCCAGGTTTCATTTTCTTCCCATTTAACTGTTTTTTTAAAAGATGTTTAGTTGAGCCAGGCCGGTGTGGCTCAGTGGTTGAGCGTCGACCCACACACCAAGAGGTCGCCGGTTCAATTCCCAGTCAGGGCACGTGCCCAGGTTGTGGGCCTGATCCCCAGTGGGGGGCATGCAGGAGGTGTCCAACTGATGTTCTCCCTCATCGATGTTTCTATCTCTCCCTCTCTAAAATCAATAAAGAAAAAAAAAGATTTTTAGTTGGTTTTTAAAAATGTTTTGACTGATTTGAAAGAGAGAGAGAGAGAGAGAAACGTCTATGGGCTGCCTCCTCCACACACACCACCCCCTCACTGGGGATCAAGCCTGTGACCTGGGCATGTGCCCCAATGGGGAACTGAACCGGCGACCTCTCAGTGCATGGGACAATGCTCAACCAACTATCCACACTGGCCAGGGCCCTATTTAGCTTTTGATTCAATCTGCAATTCATTTTGTGTATAATGTGAAAAAACATACACAGTCGATTTTCCAAACACAATTTTATTCAATAAATTCTCTTCCCTACTGGTTTGTGATTTTTCTTTCACAATATAATATCCTAGGGACGGCTTCAGGACCATTCCCTACAAAGCTACTCAATGCGCCTGACTGTGGTGAGGAAAAAACTTGGGCCCAGATGTGAACCCCCAACACACTGCTTCTTTCACTGAGAAAGTCTCGCTACCAGAGCTGATCCTGTCTCAAGTGTGCGAGCGGCACCGAGGTGCAGCCTCTGAGCACAGGCTCCTCTGGGAGACGGTGAGACAGTCCAGCCGCGGGGCTCTGGGGAGCACGGGCCCGGTCCAGCCCACCGATCTCCGTCTCGAGTGTTGCGCTGGTACCCCAGATCCACTGGCCGGAGCTCTATGTTTTCCCATCCGGCACTCCTGTGACCCTGTGCTGCCAAGTCAGTCTGAGGGGAGCGATGGCCTCTCGGGGTCTGCGGCCCGAGTGGTGTGCAGACAGGTTCCGGGCCCCCCTGGCTCCTGAGCTCACCAGTGAGCCTGCTCCACTTCTAACAGATGTGCCTTTGGGCAGAAGCAGAAAAGAGCTTCCTGCTTGTTCCTCGGAAGGCATCCTATTCACACTCACATCTAAATAGAAGGCAGAGGTCACGGAGGGAGATAATTGTTCCTTTATTCAGCAGCTGGCCCAGGACGGCTGGTCCTGTGACCCAGCTGCACCGGGAAGAACTCCAAAGCCTCCACCCAGCATTGCACAGGATGCCTGGCAGATGCAAGGGCCTTGGACACAAATGTTCTGGGCAGAAGCTGTTACAAATTCCACTTTTAAAAAAATGAGGAAGCCCGGCCTTCCTGGAGCCGCCAGGGTGCTTATTTATAGCGGCCTGGGCCCCAGCATTTCCATACAGATGGGGGCGAGACAGCCCCGCCAGAAGGAACAGAAACTCACGCTGGTCCTACGTAGTGTTTTTGCCTCCCTGCTCCTTTTAGGGAAGTAGAGGTACCTAACATTTGCCTGGCAAATACAATGGTTTCTTTAGGTGACGTGGGTCAGGTCAAGAGCTGGCCATCAGGAAGCTCGGGAAAGTCTGAGCCCAGGCTGGGAAGTGGGAGGCCCTGGCACACAAGGCCACCATGCAGGGCCAGCCTGGCCGCGGCCCACCCCCTCCCGTCCCCTCCTCTGAGCGCTGTTGTCACTGCCCTTGAGCTGGTGAGGTCGCCATGCCGCCCAGAAGTGAGTGCGGGGGTGGTCATGGCTTCTGCGGATGCCAGGCCTCCCGCAGGGGCCCCCTTCAGGCCTGTGCTCATACACAGGGAGGACTCGGGCACGGAGGCGTCTGACCCACTGGGCCTCGCCCAGCCCTGGCAATTTCAAGGAAATGGACAGGACGTGAGGCCACCTCACTTTGGCCTTTGCCCACAGAAGCCCCATCGTTCTCACAGTTTATTAACAAGTTGGCAATAAACCCAACTGGTTCAAACAAGTGTGTTCCCGGTGGCCTGTCGCTGGAGGATGCCAACTAAATAGCAGGCTCGTCAAGGTTCAGCTGAGACCCTCAGTGCCTCGGGCCGAGACCCTCAACTCAGAGAAGTGTGCAGAGAGCTGGCGTCTCCGGCTGCGGCTGCCCCGCCCTGGCCAGGAACGGGTCTCAGGTGGTCTCAGGTGAGCCCATCTCCCAGCATCTCACACTTCTCCGGTCTGGGCTGTCCGGCCGCCTGGGTCACACCTGACTGCTGCCTGTTCTTCTCTCCTCACCTCTGCCGGCACCTCCGAACCTGCTCAGCCCTCACGAAGGCCTGCCATCACCTCCTCACCTCCCGTTCCTTCCGAACCCCCACCTCAGTGTCACTTAAACTCGCAACCCTCAGTCCAGGGCTCGCAGAACCCATCAGTGGCTTTCTCGTCACGGTGAGCCAGGAAGGACAGCACCGAGGTCATCGCTTCCTTCTTGTGGCTCTCGCCTTCCCAGCTCTGAAATACGGGGACAGCAAGCTGCCACTCAGTAGTGCTTTTGCAGAGTGTGGCCAAGAGCACATTTCAGGGACTGAAGCTCTCCCTGCGACAGTGCGTTCGGAGGGGCTGCCGTGAGGTCGCTGCCTCTCAGGGGCTCCAGATGAAAGCACCATGTCAACGCAGCACGCTGGGTGGCCATCCCTGAAGTCACAGGAGACCAGGTTTGGGGACCCGGGCCCAGCAGCGCCACCCGCACAGCACCTTGTCACCCCGTCTCCACCCCACTGGGGCCGCTCTGGGCTACAGAGCGGTCCTCCTGCGCCGGCCAGGATGGAGGACTCAGCGGCACTGCAGGGAACCCCAACACTGCCTGGCTTTCCTCGTGGGCTGAGACTCACCCAGCCAAAATGCTCTCACCACAAACACGTTCTATTCTTTTCTTCGAACGAAAAAGGGTTATTGTCCCCGCTAAACCTCCTACCGTTTAAAAAAGTGGTTCCATATTAAAGTGACAAAAAATGGAGGAAAAAAGGAAAAGAATTAACAGGTAAAGCAGGTGACTTAATGTAGGGAAGGTTCAAATTCTTTCTTAAAGGAGAAGATGCGGCAGTGTGGGGACGGCCTTTTGGACTACCAGTGGGCCCCGCGAGGGTCCTCAAGAGGCTCCTGACACAGAGATGCGGTGGAGTCCTGCCTCGGGCTTTCCGCTGAGAGCGGGGCTTCCGCTGAGGACAGTCCCCTGGCCGTGCAGCAGGACCACCCAGGAGGGTCTCCAAGGGGGTGGGCGGGGCAGAGCGTCCACACTGAGCCCACCGGAGCCTCAGGGGGTCAGACCCGCTTCAACACCGTTTCGGGTTCGTGGTTTGGTGGAGGGGCCTAAACACAGCCTCAGTGAGTGGACTTCGGGTCTGCAGTGCTTCCAGGGCCCTTCGTCCACAAAGTGGGACTAGACACGAGTGTATGGGGGCCCGAAGTGTGGGCACCGGGGGCTGGCCGATGGGAAAGACCACTCTGCGCGACGTCAGTGCTCACACTGTCCCGCGGCAGGGAAGCGCCTCCCTGGCAGGGTGGCCACAACAGCACCACTATTCGGGGTAAAGGCAGGTACGGGACCAAGCACTGGACCCCTCGGCTGAGGACATCTGAGTCCCGCATCCTGCTCCGCAAGAGGCTGAGGCCGCTGGACCCGCCCACCTACCTGCCCAGAGCTCGGAGGTGATGTGAGGGGCCATCGGCGCGGCCATCACCATCAGGGCACACAGCGCGTCCTCGAACTCGGGGCTGTGGAGAAGAACTCTCTGCGGGGCTTGCTGAGGGAGAGGAAAGATGAGCATCGTGAGGCTGCGGAACAAAGGGGTGAGCACGGCCCGCGCGGCCGGGCACACCTGAAGCCCAGAGGCGGGAGGAAACCCTCCGGACCCGCCACTGCGCTCTGGAAAAAGCTCTCTCCCCAGTAAGTGACAGTATTGAAAACAGCTTCAGTGGTAACAGCAGCAAGTGCATTACTATTTACTACGCTTCAGTCTGATGCTAACTCATTCAGCTCTCACAACGACCTCCGAGGGCAGCATCTTACCCCTTCGGACAGAGGACACGGCTTAGGATGAGGGGAACAGTAATCTGCCCCCGGACACACGTTTAACCAAGGGACGAGTCCAGGCTACAATCTAGGTTGGTCTTTATTCAGAGAAACTCTGGACCCCTAGGGGTGAGGTTTCCTGGGTGCTGCAGGACCCGTGAGAAATGCAGAGACTGCTCGAAGGTTTTGCAACGGGGAGCCTCCAGTCCTCCTGCCCCGTAGGGGTCCCCATTCTCTTACACGGCTTTGCCTGTAACTGGAAGCACAGTGTACTCCTGAGGTCTGGTTAATCCCCTGTCATACCCCTTCCATTTATGACACACCTACTCTATACCAGACTTTAGGGATAGAATGTCCAGAATACTTTTATTTTATCTTACAGGATAAATGTCTCCACCCTCAAGGAGCTTACAGTCAATTAGGGAGGAACCAACAAAGGAATCGAGGATGCCACAGGATTCCGGAGGTGGGGAGGCAGGGTGGTTAGCACAGCCGGGTGTAAGCTGGTCGAATGGCTGGAAGTGATACGGGATGCCGTGAGGTGGTCGTAGGAAGAATGTTCTAAAAGGATTTCATGGAGGCTGTCAGTTCTCAGGGCACCCTCAGGAAGTCATGGTAAAAACTAGCCCAACGTGATCCTGGCTGGGTGGCTCAGTGGGTTAGAGCGTCGTCCTGGGCACTGAAAAGTTGCAGGTTTGATTCCTGGTCAGGGCACATGCCCAGGTTTGGGGCATGTACAGGAGGCAACCAACTGATGTTTCTCTCTCACATCAATGTTTCTCTCTCCCTTCCTCTCTTTCTAAAAAAAAAGGCAATAAAAACATATCCTTGGGTGAGGATTTAAAAAACACACACAGCCCTGGCCGGTTTGGCTCAGAGGTTAGAGCGTCGGCCCATGGACCAGAGAGTCCCAGGTTTGGTTGTTGCTAAGGGCATGTACCTCGGTTGCAGTGTGTCCCCAGCCCCATGGGGTTGTGTGAGTGGCAGCCAGTCAATGTGCCTCTCTCACATCGATGTTTCTCTCTCTCTCTTCCTCCCTCTCTCCCTCCCGCTCTACCTGAAGATAAATGCAAAAATGTCCTCCGGTGAGGATTAAAACACACACACACACACACACATACACACAAAACCTAGCCCAATGTAGTTGTGCTATTCAGGACATGTTTTTAGCACCCTGTGACAAAAACAATTTTGGCTTAATTTTATATGATCTATTTTATTTTTTTGGTACAGAGAAGCCAAAAATATTATTCATGGTCTTTTTAATAATGCATAGATAGCCCTGGCCAGTTTGGCTCAGTGGTTGGAGCGTCGGCCTGCGGTCCAGAGAGACCTGGGTTCGGTTCCTGCTAAGGCCATGTACTTTGGCTGCAGTTTGTCCCCGGCCCTGGTTGGTTGTGCGGGTGGCAGCCACTCGATGTGTCCCTTTCACGTCGATGTTTCTCTCTCTCTCTCTCTTCCTCTCTCTCCCTCCCGCTCTATCTGAACAAAAAATGGAAAAATGTCCTTGGGTGAGGATAAAAAAAATAAAGATATATGTCTGAATAGAAAAGGTCTACATTGGCCCTGCCCCTGGTTCCTGGCACAGAGCTCCCAAACCCTCTGGAATTCCCGGGGAGAGAGGAGTGTCTTTTGTTCTGATGAGGCGGCTCTGGGTGGGCTCCGGAACAGCTCCAGGGCGGGCTGGTCACCAGAGACCAAGCCATGATGGACCTTCAGCCCACCCCCCGTTCTCTGAAGAGAGAAACGGAGTTAGTGATCGCACGGCTCCATTACAATCCCGAGAGCACAGGGTCCGGGAGCTTCCGGACTACTGCCACGTGGGGGCCGGGGAGAGCGGCGCGCAGGAGGGTGTCACTTCCCCGTCAGTGTGATCTCTGAGCAGCCGTCTAAGAGGTCAGGGCGCAGGGAAAGCTTCCAGAGGGCTGTGGGCAGAGCAAGCTGCCAGGGAGCAGACATTCTCTATGCTATTTGCCCCTTTTCCTGATTGAAAAAACAACAAACCCTCAGCTCAGGAAATTTGGGAAATACAAAACCACCCACACTGTGCCCCCAGAAAACAACCCAGTGCATTATATCCCAGTCTCCAAAAATGCAAAAATATGGGCGTGCACGCTCATACCCCTCACATCTTCACGGCTGGGGTTTTCGCCACGTGGACACCTGGGTAGTGTGTTTTTAGTCAATGCTATGATGTCTGTGCGGTGGCACATTTTCTTCCACTGACGTGGCAGACGTCATTTCACCACCTCCCAGAGGAGGACATTGGAATTCCACGTCTAATTATAAATCACCTGCCAATGGACAGGCGGGTCACAAGACAGTCACAACCCCGGGCTACCAACCTCAGAGCCAAGTGCTCCCTGGCGAGGTTGCGTCAACCACACCCATCACTGTCTTTACAGTAACACTAAGAATAGTTATGTTAAAAAGTCTCCGCAGCCCTGGCCGGTTTGGCTCAGCGGTTAGAGCGTCGGCCTGCGGTCCTGAGAGACCCGGGTTCGGTTCCCGCTAGGGGCGCGTACCTCAGTTGCAGTTTGTCCCCGGCCCTGGTCGGTTGTGCGGGTGGCAGCCACTCGATGTGTTCCTTTCACATCGATGTTTCTCTCTCTCTCTGTTCCTCTCTCTCCCTCCCACTCTACCTGAACAAAAAAAAAAAATGTAAAAATATCCTCAGGTGAGGATAAAAAAAAATAAAATAAAAAAAAAGTCTCCGCAAATTTGATAGGTATAAAAATAGCATTGCATCTTAAATCTGCATTTCATGATCATTAGTGGGGCAGGTTTTTTTGGGAGGGGCCACCAATTTGTTAGCTGTTTCTCATCTTCCATGAATTATTATCTTTTCACAACCTTTGACCACTTTTAGGTGTTTTCATATTACTATGTTAAGAGCTCAGTAACCTTTTTTCATCTATCTTTTCATTTGGCATGCTTTAAAATACAAAAAGTGTTAAGCTTTAAGTAGTCAAAGCTATAAATGTCTTCCACTGTTCATAAAAGCTTGGGGAGGGCTTCATTTTAAAATGCATTTGTTAAGTTTTAATGCCCCCTTTTCCCCTTGTCCAAACAGCCCAAGCTCCATTTGTTGACAAGTCCTTTACCCAGACAGAGAGACCACAGTCACATGTCATGAGAGACCGAGTCTGCACTGCAGAGGCCGATCTCTGTTCTCAGTGAGAGCACATCTGGCCGGTGCAGGCCGATCGAGTGTGAGCTGTTCAGGGCGCGGGGGTTCGCAGGAACCCAGGCAGCAGGAGCATGAAGAAAAGAGCACAGCTGAAGGTACGGGGCCCGCTGCTCTCGGAGCTGTCAATCAGCCAGATGTGTCACCTAACTCCCTGGGCCTCTGTGTCCTCATCACCAAACTATGGGGTCGGGTGGGGAAGGGGGTTAGGACCAGAGGACCTTTAGGGATCTTCCAGCTATAAAACCAGGTTGTGACTGTGGGAAAAATGCTTCTTTAAGATAACAGAGCCACTCGGGGAAAGTGACACCATGATACTATTCCCGGTCCCTGACCTGACACCTTGCCGGCCACCTCGCCATGTGGCAGGAAGCCTCCCTCTGCTACCAGCACATGGGCACAGACAGGCCACTTACCAAGAGGGCACTGCTGAGTCCCATCAGGTGAGAAATCGCGGAGTTCAGGGAGAAGTCCTCTGTGAAGTGGGCGGTCACCTAGGGGTAAAAGTTCAATTACTCACTTTCTTCTCAATTCCTCTAAGCTTTCCACAACAAAACAATGAATTATCGAAAAATGTGAAATTAAATGAATATAATCGGAGCTATCTATAAACGTATTCACTAGCTCAACTGATCACTATGTCTCATCAGCACAAAGAGTTTTAAAATCATGAGTGTCGTTTCCATGACTCAAGACTGTTCCTCGTCTCCCACAGCGGGGACTGTGCTGGTTCTCATAGAAAGTCCTCAGGAAAACGATGAATAGAGAGATGCAGACACACTGACGAGCAACCGTCAAAACAAGAGCAAACAGATGGGGTGAAGGATGGCACTTCTCAGTCACTTGACTTTAATTTTCAAGGATGATCATTAGTGTGGGACAGGGTCAGCCTTACATTTTCAGATCTGGAGCTGACATAAGAACACTACCATGATTTGTCAGCTTTTTCCTGTTTGTGTGCTTTTCGATTTGGACCGAGGGCAAGGACACAGAAAAGTAACACATCTTTAAGATGTCAAGAGTTCCCGACTTGCTGAAATAGCCCAGGTCTATGATCTGACAGAACAGAAGACCCGGCCAAATCCAGAGAGAAAGTATGTGGTATGAAAACAATCCTTCAGCGTCACTTGGATCCCCGAACTCAATTCCGTGCGTTTCGTCTTCCACACCAGAGGACAAGAGGACAAGAAGAAGTGTCCCCAAAGGATACCATGCTGGACCCAGGGCCCCTTCAGGTTACACAAACCAGAGAAGAAAAACCCACTCCTTCAATGTCATCAGTTACTAGAGTCCAGAGACGTGACCTTGGCTGACTTTACACGTTTGAATCAGCACATTAAAAAAAAAAATCAGCCTGAGGAGCATTTGGGGTATCTGGTACCCATTAAAAATGGCTTCAGGTTTCCTAAATGCCTTCTTTCAGAGACAAATGACATTTTTTCACCAAGTTCTTTAAAAAGTAAAAGTCACTGCTTTAGGAAGAGCAGACTCCTTGCTAAAAAAAATGTAAAGGTTTTGTTATCTGTGAAGAATCTTTTTAAATGATTCAGACACAATACACTATTCTCTAAGAAGGTAACATGAAGAAGTCGTTTATTTGCAAAAAGTAACCCACAATAACTCACACGAATACTGTGTAACAAAGTAACCTAGTGGGCAAGTCCGGGCTACGCTGAGCAGCGGGGAACATGGGTTCCAGTCTCTCGGTCCCTCACTGGCTGTGTGACTTGCCGCAAGGCATTTAACCTCTCTGAACCTCATCTATGTACCCATCTGTAAAATGAGGATGCTGAAGAAGTCTCTCCACGCCCCTTTCAACTCTCAAGTTCTGTTTCTGTTGCTATGAGGTATGGAGTGTGTCGTCAGCGTGATCCTGAACTGGGCTCTCTGCCTGGACGTGTCAGGTGTGGACACGTGGAAAGCGGGCAGCTTCCCGAGACCGGGATAGACACATTCGGCCATCATTGAGGGAGCTGTCTCCTGAACGCAGTCTTTCCACGAGACCGGTTGCACTTTTGCTCCACCTTAGTGAAATATGGAAGCAGAAGGGGCCACCGTGATGAGGAAGAAGACCCCCAAGGGCCCACCCTGAGAGAAGGGGGCACACAGACCTCGTGCCCCGGTTACAGAACCCCGGTGTCCCTGGAGTCTCTGACCTGAGAGATGACCGTGTTCTTGTACTCCCAGAGCTTCCGGGCCTCGGCTTTCTCCTGGCTGCTCAGCAGCTGAGGCCTGGGAACCTCCCCGGCAGCCCTGGCCTCGATGAATCGGGTTGCCAAGGACCAGAGACGCTGCTGCCATCTCAGCACGCCGGGGAGCGCGTCAGCTGAGGTCAGAGTCGGGGAGAGAGAGAGGGAGGGGGAGAGGGAGAGGGATAGAGAGAGGGAAAGGGAGAGAGGGGCACGTTAGAATGACTGACTGCTATACCTAACCCGAGAGAAACACCTGTGAATTGAAGACACACTTCACTTTGCCCCGGTGGATGTATCCGAGGGCAGGTGGGAGGGTCCTCCCTGGCTTCCGGTGTCTGGGAACTCAGTCCTGGGCAGGTTCTATCGGATCTTAGTGCCCCAGATATTCTGAGCACCAGACGGAGGGCTACACAGTGCTGCCCACGGCCTGTCCCTGGCCACGGCGAGCTCAGAGGCTCGGGCCAGAACGTGCACACTGCGCGGCTGCCTGGAGGAAGGGTTTGCTGTGACGAGTGTCTGTGGCACGGACAGCGTGCGTGGAGACACAGTGGGCTCCACTGGGCAAGCTCACCTCACCTGCGCAGGTAGCACGCAGTGGCGGTGGTCTGCGGACGCTGGGAGCAGAAGCCACTGTACAGCATGAGCTGTTTCAATGCAGCTGTGTCCTTGCCCACGTGTGTATGACCCACATGAAACGTGGTCATCAAATCTAGCTGCCGTCTGATTCTCTGGAGAAGCTGAACAACCTCACCTCGCAGTCCTGGGCCACAGGGTCAGGCAGATTAAGGCCAGTCCAGTCTTTTACTCTTTGGCCACTGGACTAGGTGTTCCTGAGCCTGATGCACACAGAACCTTCCGGAAGGCTTCCTAGAAGCAGCTTCCTGGAGGCCATCGTGCAGGGAGGGGTGTGGAGAGAAGCTGTGCCTACAGGTCTGACTTTCTCATCCCTGGGCTTCTCACGAAGTCAGTTCCAGGACGGGGACTGTGATGAGACGTCCACCCCGACGGTGAGCCCAGGCACCTGCCAGCGTCTTCCCATCACAACACGTGGGGCAGGCCACCCAAGGAAGAGCGAATGCCGGCTGGACAGTTTATTCTAGGATATCCAGATTATTCTATTTTTAATATTTTTTCTTTGTTGATTTTAGAGAGAGAGGAAGGGAGAGGGAGAGAGAGATGGAAACATCGATGAGAGAGAACATCGACTGGCCACCTCCTGCATGCCTCTCACTGGGGATTTGGCCCACAACCTGGGCATGTGCCCAGCGACCTCTTGGTGCATGGGTCAACGCTCAACCACTGAGTGACACCAGCTGGGCAGGATGTCCAGATTATTTTATATATTCTATTATATATATTACTTATAAACGCGTAATATGCATATCACATACTACACAAGTATGTAATATGTATGTTAAATATAATACTTGCACTATTTATAAGTATACAATGTGTGTATATAATAATATGATGAACCCGAGATCACTTCCTGCCACTCTAGATCTAAACAACCCTGGAGACAGACAGCCCGTGGCACTCTGGACGCGGCGGCGGTGACCGCAGAGGTCATAGGCAACACCAGGCAGGCCCGGGCAGGGGTTCTGGATTGGTGAGAAGCGATGACACTGGTCTAGGAAAAGCCTTTCAGGGCAGATCACAGGGGACTGGCCTCTGGGGACCACAGCGGGACTACGGGCAGCATGGAAGCCAGTCTGGCTCCAAGGACAGGTTCTCAAGGTGGGTGCTCGTGGAACCTGCTTGAGACCCCACAGGCGTGCGGGAGGCAGGCTCCTGGGCCCGCCCTGGGGGCCGTGTCGGCAGGTCAAGGGTGAGGACTAGGAATCCGTGATGCCAACAAGCTCCCCAGGTGAGTCGGAGGTCATTCATCTGAGACACTGGGCTATGAGAGGAGCCACCCTGGGCTAAGGTGTGGACAGACCGCTGCTCGATTCATGGAACCGGCCTCGAGAATCCTCTCCCATGGCCTTCAGCAAGGACAGCTGCATCCCCAACTCCTTCAGGGCCCGAGGTGGGTGAAGAGCCAGTCAGGGAGAGGCAGGCGACTTACTCTTGACATCCCACAAGAGGTCCTTCTCCGGAGGCGCGGCGAAGAGCAGGTACAGGCGGACCGTGTCGATGCCGTACTGCTCGACCACCTCCTCGGGGTCCACCCCGTTGTGCTTGGACTTGCTCATCTTCTCCCACGTCACCTCCAGCTTCTCTTTTGTTTGTGCGTGAACAGGGACAGAACCTAAAATGATACACAGGCCTGGTACGTGCGACCTGGTTCTGTAAAACACATTCTGTAAGAGAATAGTGGTGACTAACACACGTGCCCATGGGAAGAACTCCGCCTAACCTTTCTCTCCTGCCACATTATACTATAAGAAGTGTTTTAAATAAATAAGCCCATTTCCACCACAAATCTTCCTTTCACGGATATGTAGTAGTCATAAGGGCCTGTGATGGTTTTTTCTCGACCATAAAATAAGGCAGAGCGATCTCCCCCTTCATAAAGGCACATACAAAAGGAGAGAACAGAAAAGGCTGAGGACTCAGAGACACTGCGGTCTTCCCTGTGGACTCGGGGCTCCTGTGATCACTGGCGAGGCCTCAGCAGCACAGCACTGAGAGGTCACCTGACCTCCAGGCCTGGTCTCAGTCGCCAAAACGATCTCCTGCTGTCAGGGCCACGGAGCTAACTCACTGCGGTCACACTGAACATGGCCCTCCGTGCGGCCAGCCCGCCACTCCCTGTTCTTGGAAGTGTCCCCTGCCCTCCCACACATGTGGTCCAGACGGTGCTGACGGAGGAGGCCTTACATGGCCATGTCTGGACGAGGTGACCTTGTTGCAAGCCCCAGTGGCTGGGGCCAGCAAGGGCACCTGACAAGGCCTCTCTCGAGATCCAGAACTAAGAGACAGCAGCTCTTGCTTTAACCTTGAGCACTGGAAGCAAAGACCCAGAGAGATGGGGCAGGCGTGGCACCTCGTCAACGACAATGACGGAGACGATCCAAGCCTGGAAAGAGGGCAGAAGCACAGAGAGAAGCAGGAAGAGGAGCCAGGGGCTCGAGAGACAGAGAGAGGAGTGGCCTGGTCACTTCCCACTGCTGTGGGCGGTGGTATTTCCTGCAGCTGCACTGGGGTGATGTCCCATACCCTCGTGCTAAAGCCGCCTCTGGGTGGATTTCTGCTCTGACTTCACAACAACCAAACTCCTAAAAGCCAAGTCCATACTTCATGAGAGGCACACCCACTAAGTAGACGGAGGCCTGCCCTGCGGAAACAAGATTCTCTCCCAGGGGACAAGTGCGCGGCCCGACGACCTCGGAGCCAAGGGGGTGTTTGTGCTGGCTGTGCTGAGGCTCGGGAACCACGGCCCTGCCCCCGCCCTGCACCGCCCTGGGCTGTGGCTCGCCTTTACAGCCTGCGTGCAAGTCAGGAGCAAGGATCTTTCTGGGCAGAGAAGTTGAGAAGTCAGGAAAGGTGCCCTCTCTCGGCAGACGTGGCCCGAGGTGCATGGTCTCGGCACACGGCTGGGTATCAGGCCCTGCTCAGCCCCTCGGCTGGAGCCTCTGCAGCTCACAAACCGCACAGCTGTGCCGCAGCCCCGCCCACCACCCTGACCGCTGCCCCCACAGCTGGGATCTGCCCCTGGGTTTGGCTCCTGTCCCCTCTGGTCCGTGTTGGAGAAACACTGCCAATTTCTGCTTCTCCAGCTTCTTTTTCTCCCAGGGTGACCACTCCTAACCGGATATATTACTACTTTAGTTAGGGAACTCATCAACGGCTCCCACCTAAACCTCTCTCGTGTTTGGCATGGGAGGCTGCCGACCATTTAAGGGGTGTTGGGTTTACTTAATGTTGCCCATTATGCGCTGGTTTTCTAACAAATGTCACGGCCAGAGTCTGGGGGTTTCTCACAGCTGCCTCTTCGCACACGGCCCTCCCCACTCTGCAACGTGTCGCTCACTGCTGGTATGCCGGGTGCACGAGACACCTGCCCCCATGAGGCCTACTGAGTTCTCCTTGAGGAAGAGTGGAAACAGGGGCGGGGAGAGGCTGGAGGAGCGGGGAGGAGAGGGGAGTCCAGGGAGTCGGGGAGACTTTCCACCAGGGCAGTGCTCGACAGGCGGCTACTGTGAGAGCAAGCAGAGAGGTGGCCCCCAGGTTCTCAAATGCTCCTCTAGACGACATGCGGAGAAATTCTGGGGGTACCCCAGTTTTGGAAAAGTGTCTCTTGAGTCTGGGGGCTCTGTCCCTGAAAGGGGCTGTCAAACATAAACCAGGACAGGAAGTGATGCCCAAGCTGGCTCTGGGTTACATACAAATGAGCACCCTGCCTCGCGCTAACACAGGCTGGAGTGGATGGGGCTGGGGAGCAGGCGGCCAGGCCCGGCGCAGCCTTCAGAGGGCGCCAGCCCAGAGCAGGCTGAGGCTGAGACCAGGAGGCCGACAGGTCCCGCTCCTGGCTTCTCCACCCAGCCAAGGTCTTTGTCAAGGGCCCTCAGGCCAGGCTTTTCTGCACATACCTGGATGAGACCCTTCTTACCTGTGAGATCTATTTCCTCTCTCCGGAGATACTGACCAGATGGTAGGCGGAATGTCTGCCCCTTAATAAGGCCTTGGGCCAGCAGCTTATGAAAAGGCTCTCTGAGAAAAGACAACAGAAACAGAAAACTGATGGGGTAGGAATTCAAAGCATCCAGAAAACAGCAGTAAAAAGTTTACCAGCTGATGGACAGAGAGAATCACCCTCTCTGAAAACTGTAGGCCGAGCAATGCCACTTGTAAACCCACTTGAACAAACGGCTCCTTATAAATGAGCAGTAAGAGCCCTGGCTGGGTAGCTCAGGTGGTTAGGGCGTCATCACAATACACCAAGGTTGTGGGTTCAATCACCGGCCAGGGCACGTACAAGAAGCAACAAATGAATGAATAGAACAAATCGATCTCTCTCTCTCCCTCTTCTTCTTTAAAATAAACAAACAAACAAATAAATAAAATTAAAACAAATAAATAAGCAGTAAAAAAAATTAAGTCAAACCAGAAGGTGCTGACTTCTTTCCACTGTGGCAAAATGGAGAGAACCTAGGCTTCAACTTGGAAGGCCTGGGCTTGAGCCTCAGTTCTGCTTCTCGGTGGATGCTACGAGCCAAGGCAAGTCACTTGTTCTTAGCATCAATTTGCTCATCTGTAAACGGAGGCAGTAAAAATCTGCCTCAAAGGGCTGCTGGGAAGACGAACTGCAATGAGCGCATGAACGTACTCGTACATCTGAAAAAAACACACAAATGCCAGCTCCCTGCTGACCCCAGCATCAGGAAGGGCCGAGAGGACACAGAGGTTCAAGGTGGGGCTCCTTCAAGCAAGTTACTTTCCCCCTTAGCTTTACACACAGCACCTGCTCACAGCCTTTAGGAATGTTTGTCACACAATTTATACACGAATATACCCGTTCTGTTCATCAAACTCTCACACTGAATTACTTTATTTCAGATTTGCAATGGTTTATTCGGAAGAGTCCACCTGGCTCAGCTCTGAAGCACAGGAGCAAGAGCTATCCCAGTCACAGAATGACCTACGGACAGGGACTGCTAACACGTCCGCGTGTCACATTCACGGAGGCCCACGGAGAAGGGTGATGTCCTCCGTGCACATCGCCAGCGGCCTGCGTCCCTGGGGGGCTTCAAGTTCACTCACACAGGGTGGCTTTTACTCAGAAGTTCAAAAAAACCCAACAACTTCAAAGAGGCCAAACAGACCATAAACCTCTCTAGTGATGTCGGCAAATGTGGCTTTGCGGATTTTGTAGGCCGTCTAATTTGGATGAACTGTTATTAAGGCCTCTGGACAGGCCCCCGATTTGTACACTGTGCAGCCCCCGTCACAAGGCTGTGTGGACAGAGGTGGCTTAAAGGAAACGTTCCAGTGGATTTGGGGGTGCGGGGCAGAGTTGAACAGAGACTGGGCAGGAAAGAAAGAGGGTCAGCTAGAATAAAAGGGTTCCTGGCCTTTGTGTTTTAGTCTTGTGATGAACATGTGTGTGTGTCCATGCTGCTGCCTAACACGAGAGAAACAGACCGTAAGTCCCCCTGCTGTGCTCGGTGCCCGAGGAGCGTCTGCCGCTCTCAGGCTCAAGTCGCCCGCACTAGCTGGGAAGGTCTTGCCTCTCGGCTCTCACTGCGAGTCCACCGCTGTGGTCACTCTTAAGAGAAATTTCTGAAAAGATGTCTTTGGGATGGAAGGTGGGAGGGAATAGTCTAGATCTCGAAGATAAATCAAAACCAGTAGCATTTACTCCTCAAGAAGGGTAGGCGAAGAAACAGGAACCCCACTCTCTGTTCCTGCAGTTTATCAAGTGGCACAACGCTGCCGCCTACCGGGAGCGAACGGAATTGCAACCTACCGGCCTTGCTGTCAAGATTTCAAACTGGGCACTTCCAGCTCACAGGAGGACCAGCAGGAACAAGGGAATGAGAGTGGGAGAGAACTCCAAGAGCATTTGCGTGGAATTTCAGTGGGGAAGGGGTGCTTCCCAGCTCCTAGAATGCTGCTTGTTCCCCAATGACCCTCCACCCTGACTCTTCCAGGGCCCCATAGGGTGCTCCACAGGGCTGTAGGAACCTGGTTCTCCTTTTCTGGATGAAGCTGACCACATCCACCCCCACGTGCAATTTAGCTCTAAATGAGGACCCACGCTTGTTTATTTATTCAACACACATCTGAGCAACAACTGGGTACAGAGCACTCTGCAATTAATCAGAGAGCTTATAGTAAAATGGGCAGCCCAAGACATGCTCATAACAGTCAACACCTCAAGGAGGCGGCACCAAGGGTGAGATGCAGGGGCACGGTACATGGGAATGAGGGTCAAGGGGACGTCAAGGACCCTGCTGGACTGGGAACCAGTCCTGCTGGAGCAGAGACCACACCACATTGCCAAGTTCATGATCAAGCTGCACAACTGCTGTAACGTGTTCCCGTGTTTGTGCGTGCATTCACTCACTCACCACAGGGACTGTACAGCAGGGGTCTTAAAGAAAGTGAAAACTGGCCGGTTTGGCTCAGCGGCTGGAGCGTCGGCCTGCGGACCAGAGAGTCCCGAGTTCAGTTCCCACTAGGTCCTAGCGGCTAGGGGCATGTACCAAAAAAACAACAACTATTTGTTACCCTGGCCGGTTTGGCTCAGCGGTTAGAGCGTCGGCCTGCGGTCCAGAGAGACCCGGGTTCGGTTCCCGCTAAGGGCACGAACCTCGGTTGCAGTTTGTCCCCCACCCTGGTTGGGTCGTGCGGGTGGCAGCCACTCCATGTGTCCCTTTCACGTCGATGTTTCTCTCTCTCCCTCCCACTCTATCTAAACAAAAAATGGAAAAATATCCTCGGGTGAGGATAAAAAAAAAAAAAGTGAAAAACCTGCAACTCTAACCATCTGCAAACCCCTTCTGACTCGGGGACCATCCTTAGAGGGGCAGCATGCAGGGCCTCTGCCCTGGAGACGACCTCGGTGGCTACATCCTGTGAAGACTCATCTGTGCGCTGTTCTGAGTCGGCTTCCCTGGCCCGGCTGGGGTGGAGGTGCTGCTCACACGGCAGCACAGCACCGACAGCGAGTGGCGCGCCCGGTGTGTCCTTGGCTGTTTGCACTGCACTCAGAAACCTCAGCCGATACCTGCTGGCCACTGAAGGCCACACCCATCCCACTAAAAAGGGAAAGGAGGGAGGGAGGAAGAAACTGAGAGGGGATGTGGGGTGGGGGGGTATTGCTAATTAACAGGATAAACAAGGAAATTCAGAACATAGATCGATAGGCTATTTTAGTCCCAGTGGCCCAGTGCTGAGTGACGTCCAGCCAAAGCGGACGCCCACCCCACCCACGAGTCACACTGGGGGATCAGCTCATTTCCCTGCTGCAGAATATGTATGTAAAGGACTAGATATTTTTTTCCTGTTATAAAGTTACACAATCACTGAAAAAATTCTAGAAAAAGAACTGCACTAAAAAACTAAAAAATCGCCCTGGCCGGTTTGGCTCAGCGGTTAGAGCATCCGCCTGCGATCCGGAGAGACCCCGGTTCAGTTCCCGCTAAGGGCATGTACCTTGGTTGCAGTTTGTCCCCGGCCCTGGTTGGTCGTGCGGGTGGCAGCCACTCGATGTGTCCCTTTCACATCGATGTTTCCCTCTCTCTCTCTTCCTCTCTCTCCCTCCCACTCTGTCTGTGCAAAAAATGGAAAAATGTCCTCGGGTGAGGATAAAAAAAAAAAAACAACTAAAAAATCGATGTTGAACATTCTATGTGATACGATTTTAAGGACTTGTACAAGAGTCCTCCATATAGATGGGTTATACTTGATTTACTGTTTCTCAGCATTTTGGGGCATTTAGGTTGCATCCCAAAATTCTAGCTTTTGAAATAATATGCGAACACTGTGCTGCGTAAGTTTCCATTTCTGATGGTTCCGTGGGACAGAGTCCTAGAAGAGGAAGCGGCATGCACAAAGCGTGCATATCTGTGAGTCTCACAGCATCCTGCCAAGTGCCCTCCGGGGAGGTGTCGCACACGGCCTTCTGCAGTGAGTGTGAGGCTCTTACCCCAGCCCTTCGCCCACCGGAAAACAGCGCCTCGCCGCTGTGTAATTTGTGTTTCTTTGACTTTACAGTATGTTTCTTGATCATTTGCTTAGCTTCTTCCTAAAATTCCTGCTGACACTGACTCTGACATTCACCTGGGGTTTCGGACACCGAGGCACCTGCTGCCATGCGCTGGCACACCCAACCCGAGGCCAGCTTCTTGTAAGTGGCAGAGACCTGAACATCCAACTGCAAACCCAAGTGTGCAAGTGGAGAAAGAAAGGCCGGGGCGCGTTTAGAAACAGGAAAGACGAGGAGAGCCACTTAAACCTTTGCTGCTTACACTTGGAGACATTTCACCAGAACCACAGAGTGACAGGGGCTCGGAGGAGGTGCATTCCTCACTTGTGAGGCCACTGAGAACCAAAGGGGTTGGGTTTCTTGTCCGGATGCTAATCAGTGGTCCAACTGAGCACAGGACAGAGGTGTCCGAGCTCCCGGTCTAGAGCTACTACTTCAACGGGCTGAGAAATGAACACAAGTGGCCCTGCTGTCGTCTCGGATCCCCCGGAAATGACAGTGCTGCTCCACAGGAAAACAGAAGGTGGACATAAAATTCTGATGTCTACACCGTTCAGAAAATAATAGCTAATAAATAGAGAGAAAGACGTATGTGGTTGACAGGGCTCTATTTTCCGGCCTCGGGATAAAGCTGTCGGGAGGCTTCCACGCATTGTACCTGGAGCATTCTGAATCACTCGTCACAGCGAGCGGGTGATTTCCCAGTTCATTTGCGGCCATGGGTTTACCAAAACATCTCTGATGAAGAAAGGATGCTCGAGATAGTCTGCAGGGCTTCGCTGTCCTGACGTGTTTAGCAGGAATAATCAGACAACCGTGCAGAGAAACAAAAAAAGGTAGCTTTCAGCTCCTTCTCCAAAACGTCAGACTTCTGAGTATTTAAAATAAATCTCTCCTTTTTGGGGGTGGGGTGGGGTGGAAGGGTATGGAATAGAATCCCCCCCTCCGACATACTTTTTTTGTTAATCCTCACCTGAGGATATTCTTCCATTGATCTTTT